TTCAAACAGTATTAACAGGACCATGTATCTATTAGTATTATTTATCAGAAATTGATAATAGAGTGTTCTATAGATTTCTATGGGTATTAATATGTATTTACTGTAGAAATCTGTAGAACACCCTATTGTAAATTCTCGATAAATACTAATACATCTATGTTCCTGTTAATACTATTCAAATTATATAAAACATTCATTGAAAATACCTATTTAATCCCAATAGAGACAAGTTCCCATTAAAACCTTAAGAAATATATAGAATAGTTTATTAGTAATTTACATTGAAAACCACAAGACTCCAGTTTTTTTTTTTAAACCTATAGAAATGTATAGAACAGTCTATTGGGAAATCCCTGTAAAACTCCCTGAACAATGGTTCCCGTTAAAACATTCAGGAATTTATAGACCTTCACGTTATTGCAAATTTCCAGTAAATCCCATTAAACTATTTGTACTTACAGAAGTATTACCTATTAATACCTATAAGTACGTATTATACAGTTACATATAATTACAAGATTTTTAAACATTATAAAGATGTGTTATATACGAGTATAAGCAAGAAGGAAGTGCTAAAGTCAAAGGGTCCCCACCAGTCCATTCGAACGTCAATGTCAAGCAACATTGGGCGCGGTTACTACTTGGATGGGTGACCTGCTAAAAGAGCGGACGGACGCGCGGCTACCAATCCAATACAGACCTATTCAAATTGATAGGACAAAATGTGGCTATTTTTGCAAAATCCAATTTATATTAATAGAAACTTCTCGATTCCATAATTTCCAGTCAAATATAATAAAAACTGATTTAACATAATTCGAAAACGCTATGAAAATTATTAAGAACCAGATGCTTTTAAATGGCATTTTATGATTAAACTCAGCTAGAACCAATTGACTTCAATAAAAGCAATAGGATTGAATGGAGATATTTGCATTAAACCCGATGCAAACCGTTAGAATTATATTTGTTCCACAGTGATAATTTCCAATTATACATTTTAAATTCCGGTTCAACATGGTTAAAAAACGCTAATAAAAACAATAAAAACTGTTAAGATTTTGATTGCTATTTTACGATTGAGTGTAATCGGAATCAATATAGACATATTAAAACATATAGGACGGAATGTAAATATTTCTCTTAAATCTGATTTAAATCCACAGAAACTTATTTTTACTACCAGCATAAATTCCAGTTCAACAAAGTACAACCGATTTGAGAGTAATTGTGTTTTAATGGAAAATGCAGGTTTAAAAACACAATACAATCTTATTAGACCGAATAGGGCTGATTTTCAAAAGGTTTTAATCGAGCTTCTTCAGCAGGGAAAAGACAAATGGGTTTGAGAAGTGATACAGCGGTTAAAAAGTATATCGGACTTAGTCGCTGTTGAAGCAAAATCAAGAACGCTGTTATACAATTTTTTTCAAAAAACCAACTACATGAGGTAAGGGTGGACGCCCTCTTGTTGATAATGTAAGCTATGGAAGTGATTTACGATTTCATTGAAAATAGTGGCGATTGTTAGTTTTCTTTGCCTGACCCGATTAAATTACTCAACGACTACGTTCCTAGCGATCTAACAATCAAAAGAAAACTAAAAGAAAAATGCGGTAACGAGATTATTATAGCGACAAATAAGAAGATTACTACTATATGTTTCCGAAACACAGGATATACAATTTTGTCGAGTCATTGGTATGAACGAAAGAAAGTTGATGAACGGAAAGAACGCCTTCGAGTAGTCACTGCAGCTGCAGCCATAATTCGGGGAGATATTTGCTCACAAATCAACGACACGTCTGCATATCCTTCAAGCAATGATTTCTTTGCAGATGTAAAAAACTGCATACCGAAATCTTTCGATATTTTTCTGGAAAACATTATAGTTAAAGGAAGAAAATGCCTATCGCAGCAGATCGAATCAAAATACATTTCAATAGCGCACGCTATTATGTTGGCGACCAGACCAAGATCTTTCTTGTCATCACTTTTAATCAGTGATTGCTGCTTTTTTATACCGGAAATTTAGCTTTAAAAATCTAGTAACGTTATTATCTAGCTTGGGCTTTAGCGCATCATATAATGAAGCACAATTATTGGAAGCTTCAGCTGTCAAGCATTAAAAGCTTGACGAGAACGATTTCTTCGTGATCAATGTTAAAGATCGAGATGATGATCATAGCCCTGCAGATTCACAACCTTAGGAAATGGCTCAGAAGAATCTTATAAATGACGCTACCCCCAATACTAGTCGTGTACAATAATTTTAAATGATAAGAGTTGCCAAATTTTCATATGTACGAAAAATATCACGCATACATTTGATATTTTTTGTCAATTTATATTTTTTTTTACAGATTCTACACCGAAAGTATGATTTTTACAGCGTAAGACAAAATACAAATATCCATATATTCAACAATGTATTACAGAAAAACTATTAAAGATATGGAAAAAATGTATTGAATTTTTTTTATAGAGAAATTAACGAGCTATATTTTTTAAACCTTTATTGCGATAGGATCAATGATTACCGAGATATGAGGGAAAAACTGAATTAAAGCAACTTTTTTTCAAGATGGCGGATCGAACCTTGCAGATAAAGGTCCGGACTTTTAGTATGTTTAACAGTATGCCAAGATAAAGGTCTCCACCAATTTATAGCTTTCTACCGATTATAATCGTCAGTTCATGACTGAAATATGACATTGCAATGACGTCACATTATGACGTCAATATAATAAGGCCATGTAAAAAATTGGTTATCTTAACGACACATAACCAAAAATGACCAATTTAGGACGTCAAAGCAACTTGTGTTTGTTACCTGGGTGATCCCTGATTTCTATCATATAATCACAATTTTTTCAAACTTAATTTTATTTTTTTTATTTTTATTTATTATGATAGGAGAAGAATCAAATTAATTCAACTTTAATAAATAATTGACAATAATTTTGATAATTCTGTTTACTAGTTGCAAAAATGATAACTATGCATGCTTTGACATGTAAATTGAAAAATTGCTAACAAAAGTTGTTATGTTTTTACTTCTAAGTGTATTGCTTATTTGCGGCTCCATTTGTTAAAACACTGCAATTATTGTAAAACATACTCTTGACATAAACCTAATATAATGATATTTTAATACAATTTTGTTTTTGACTTGGAAACCTTATACAAAGCAACTCGTCTTGTTTCAATGGAAACAAACAATAAAAACTAAAAAAAATCTTATAAATTATTTCTTCTTAATAAGGAGAGACATTTGAAAGAAGATAAATGTTTATGTTTTACTTTAAAACTTAAGAACACTTTAAAAATTCCAGATGCAATGAAAATAATAAAGAGGATAACTTTAAGATTACTTACTTTATTACTTTATCCTCATAATTGTAAATCTTATAACTTTAATCCTTATACCTTTAACCTTAAAACGTTAAAGTTAACCATGAAAAATAACACATGAGATAAATCTATATACTTAAGGTAGCTAGTGCATCAGCTAAAACAAAGATTTTTGATTGGCATGAAACTATGTTATTCTACAGGGCATTATACGTAATCAGGAATTAATTCACGATTTTTTACCACGTAATTACGAAAATATAAGCATTCAAAGTTAGTCAGTTTTACATTAGGGTATATGAACAAGTATGCACAATCGTAAAATTCACGAGATTTTACGAGTATTTTAAAAAAAGATTAAGGTTTGAAAAACAGAAAATCTTATCAATTAAACTATTACGAATGATTAAAAAAAAACGTTAGTTTACCATTGCAATAAAAAAATACTCAATATTAAAGCAAACAAAATGTAGCTAACAGAGAAGTCTCTGGCTAGTCGGCCATCAAAACTTGGCAACAGCGCGGACCGCATCTAACCTCACTTTCAGTGCCAATGTCAAAATAATCAGAAGCTCTCAACGTGTTTTGACGCAATTCAAAGTATAAGCGTGAAATTTAAGGTATTCCTTTCACGAGGAGCGTATTTTGTAGGCGCTTAAGCAGGGCCTCAGCAAACTCTTGTATATTGCATTAAACTTATATAAAATCAAGTTATAATTGATTATTATGTTTAATTATAAGAAAAAAGGGAAAATATTATGTGTACTTAGAAATTTTTCATTTTTCGGTAAATTTTACTGTCAGAACAATATAGCAACGCTGCGGTTTTCAGGGGGCCGATTGTAAAATGTGAAGTTGATAAGTTGAAAAGTGTCAATGTAAGGTATCAATTTCATTAATCAAAGAATATTGTGACATTTTCTTTTTATCAAAGAGATATTTTATAATAATAATGAGTGATAAAAAACATAAAGTGAGGAGTAATGTGGACAAAAATAAGGGACAATTTGTGAAAATAAAAGTTAATAATAAACCGTACGTTATATGAATGAAGTGTGTGACATGAGCGCACAGCTTGCAGCGCCAGTGTTGCCAAATAATTCCTTGAAAGTCGCCATCAAAAATATTCAACTATAAACCACATTTCAAGTCAACTTTTAACATAAATATTTTGTTTAAATATTCGGTGACTCTGTATATTTTTATCGGCACTATCGAAAGTATAGAGTTTAGCGAATATGTAGCGCAGTTAATATTTAATATCTTAAATTTAAAGATAAACAAATTATTACACTATTGAATTATTATTATTGAAATGTAAAAAATAGACTTTTTCGATAACGTCACATATAAAATATCGAATTTTCAAAATCATAATTCTTCTTTATATGTTCGGTAATGTGGTTTAATTTTATTCTGGCGTAAAGATATGCATTTTAACTTTCTTGTACCAAAAAATCAGTTAATTCTTAAGACTTTGGTGTCATGAAAGAAATACCTTAATTGAGAAATATCAATTTTACCCAGTATATTGTTTAGCTCATTAGGATATTGAGCCGCCACAAATTGCATGTATTTTGGATTTGCTTTAGACGGTTTAGGGAGAAGGAGCAAGAAGGGTGTATGAAAATAATCAACAACTATAATTACGAGTTCTCTGTGACATTCTTTATTTGCGTGATTATACGTTGAATAACTTTTTTATTTTTTGTGATACGAGGATGTCCGTTGACATCTGAGGCTAAGAGAACTGTTACAGCGTCCTCGCCGCCTTCCAAAAATGATTCTTTTAAATGACTAAATGTTAAACCAGCTTTTGCCATTTTCGTTTTCATGCCTGCTGAAACGCCTTCCTTGATACAGTCGAACGAATTCTTATTTAACTTAGTTTTTGGATTCTGCGCTTCTTCAATGAAAGTCATCTCGATAGATATACTCCCACCGCGAAGCTCTTCGTTGGTTATACCTACAACTCGAATATCTTCCAGAATTCGTACATCGACAGCCCTATTATGAGCGCCGGCAGAAGCGTTATCTCCGATAAATTCTTCCGCTAAAACCGATAAGCGAAAAGACTGCTTAGCTTTCACTCGTTCGGGAAGTTTTTTTTTAAGACAGGCAGACTATCACAAAAGCCACAAGCGATTGATCGAAATTCGACCATGAGACCAAGGTTCTGTAATTCTCTGAGCAGCATAGGAGTATCGAATCGCCGGCTATTGTGAGCCACGAGAATTGTTGGACCTGGTTTTATGAATTCTAAGAACCACAGTATCGCAACTCTACGTGGTGTCGTCACTACTTGTTGACCGTGTAAATTCAGCTCCTTATTTTCGACTGTTAGTCCTAAAAAATACAAGGAAAATATCCATATATTAATCTTAATTCGACCCAACTGGCCAACTTTATTAAACAGCACGCTACGTTTTGACCTCGGGTTTAGGTCCTTATCAAGCGTTACAAATACAAACTATTAATTAGTTAGGCATAATGCCTGCTACGCCACATCTAAAAACTAATGATAAAAATATTACGACATGTAACATATATAGTTCACAATTAATAAAAATAAAGTGCTTACATAGTTTATTCGTTGATAATTAAAATATATAGAAGACCGTTGACACGGCATATTCGATCGTTTATAAAGAACTTGTCGAGTTGGCGATGTTACTGTTAATGTGCGGACACGGATAACAACAAAACAGTACCACTCAAAGTGATCAAGAGGGGGAACAGAGTAAGAAGTAGGAAATTATCTCTTCCATAATCTCTTCTATAATACGTTCGTAGAGAGCGTTGAGCTTCTCTGTGTCTCTTTGTAAATTTATAATCTAAATACAAGAATTCCACTCGAATGCGCAACTTATTGATATACATTTTTTCTTTTATAATCATGTCAGTGATTAAACATTAAATATTTTTACTCGTAATCGCGTCATCCGAAGATTTGCAATAGATTCCCATCAAATTCGTGACAACGTGCCCCGGTCTACCCTACACTTATGAAAAAAAAATTTAAAATTTCGAGAAAAAAAATTGTCACATAATTGTTTATAAAAAGAATACTATGCAATATAAAAAAAATCCTACGTACGTCTCTAGCTGTTATTATATATAATCGAAAAAATTTTGGTTTTTTGTTCTTGGTCAAAAATTACATGAGTTACATTTCCGGCCGTGGAAAAAAAGGCATCGACGGAGAAATGCTGTGCAGCCGCCATTTTTTTCTTAATTGATATAAAAAAATAATTTTTTTGTAATTTATTTGTAATATAATAAAACTCATTTTACAGAATTTTGATTGATCCCTTTATTGCGTTAAAAAAATTCCCGAAATATGCCTATTTTTTCTTGCTCTAGAGTGGCCTAACCCCTTAAACCCACATCCAGATGAATACGTGATGCCCTCCCTACTTTCTGTATTGTTATTCATTGCATGTCGTTCTTGGAAGAGATCGTTGTCTTTTTTTTGCCTCAATAGTTTTTGCCGATTTTCGCTGAGCTTTCCTAATCTCGTCCTTTTTTTTTCGAAACTTTGCCGTGTTTTTTCCTGGGGAGATATCTAGTTTCTCGTGGATATTTATTACGTAAGCCGTACCGCGGTTTTTTTTAGCAAACCGCGGGTGCAATACAAAAATCATTAGATTCCGAACTCCCATAATGTCGAGATTTCGGCGCTTTGTTTGCGACTATCATGTGAAGAAATGCCTCATTTTTGCCTGAGTCAATCCACACGGTGCAAGTTTTTCAGCATTAGCAGCAAATTTCTTGAAAATTGCAGTCACAGAAGCCTTTATATTAGAATCCGTGAGACCTTTTCCTCGATCCAGGCAGTAACCGGTGCTTATAATTCGTCGGATCTTCCTTATATACGCACCACATGCCACACTTCTCGTGATCATCGAATGCATGCGGAACGATATTGAGAAGACCAGCTCGTACGTTCTCGACATTTCCTTTGTTCTTCAGCAATACGCAAACGAAGCAATATTTTATGTATTTAATGATTTTACTCGGAATTTTTTAATTTCCACATATCCTTGCTGAAGGTGCACGTTGCGTGATTCTTGTCCGATTCTTTTTCGACTGCATGATGTGCTTCGCGATGTACATTGACGATAGCGGACGAATCGTCGTCTCCTATGATTGTACCAATTTGTACATTCTTCTCTTATAGCATCGGATTTTTTGTGACAATCTCCACAGCCATTTTCTGTTCCATTGATTTCGAACTGCCCGTATGGTTAATACTACAATCGTGATTATCCGGTGAATGCCCTCTTTCGCATAGTACGCAGCGTTTATTGCGAGTGGCATAACCGCAAACTTTACCACCTTTAACCTCTATCGCTATTGCATGTGCTGAAACACCAAAACACGAGGAAACATATGTACATACATATGTCCTATATGAGCGACATACATATTCATTAGATAATTCACAATATCAATTACCGGTGAGACTATTGTAACAGCGTCCAGATCCTTTTTTTTGCCATTCAACGTCGTACGAAACCTTTATTTTAGTTCGAAATTTTGATAATTCCCTTTGGTTTTGTTGCTCGTCAGTTGTGCCGAATGTAGAAGGTTCGCCAGTACTTTCTACAGTACTTGCCACATTTTTAAAACTGGGGAATTAGGTGTGAAACGAAAAAGAAAATGCGATTAAAATATGAGAATAAAACAGGATAGCATGAAGTAAAAATTCATACAGTTCACGTGCCCTTCACATATAATTTGTGTGCAAATGCAGATAAAAAGTGCCACAGAAAATGTTAAAAAAATTAGAGGAAGATAAATAACAACAGAACCATAATCGGCAATATTAATAATTCTTAAACCAGAGGGTGTATTTAATATAGGAAAATGCTGAGATGTCTCACGCAGGAAAAAGAAAATCATGCAAAAAGGAAAATTGTGCTTTGCCACAGCAATGCTCACTAAGGATATTATAGCAGCGATAACTTCTCCCATGACTGGAAAAACTTTTTTTCGAAGAACTGCAGTATCGAAAGCATGCACATTAGTTCAGGAAGATAAATATCAAGCCGAGTGGTGGCAATAACAATAACCAATGAAGATTAACTGCATGGAGTGTGTGTGAAGCTAGCGTCTCATTTTGCGGAAACTCACAAATTATTGAGAGTTCTGACTTCCTTTCAATAGATTATTTAATCATTCTATATGTTCAGAACTATACGAAAAATATTTTATATAAGCCAGAACTCCGAGATTTCCTACAGCGTCTCACCCATATACACGTAAATGCGTCTTTCTCGGGCGATAATAATTATTAAAAAAATGATTAAATAATGTTTATTGCCAGAACTCTTTAGAAAACGT